GCCTACAATACCAGCACTCTGGGAGGCTGAGGCGGGTGGATCACCTAAGGGCAGGAGTTAGAGACCAGCCTGGCCAACATGGTAAAACCCCATCTTTACTAAAAATTAAAAAACAAAAAAATTAGCCAGGTGTGGTGGTGGCGCCTGTAATCCTAGCTACTCAGGAGGCTGAAGCAGGAGAATCACTTGAACTCAGAAGGCGGAGATTGCAGTGAACTGAGATCACACCATTGCACTCCAGCCTGGGTGACAGAGCAAGACTCTGTCTCTCTCCCTCTCTCTCTCTCTATATGTATATATATAATGTTTGGACATTGCTGCTACAATGTAAACTTCATGAGGGCAAGGTCCTTGCTCATGAGGGCAAGGTCCTTGCTCATCTGTTTTCCTGATAAAAATATTAGGATTTCTAGTATCTGGAAAAAGTCATCTGAGAGGAGATGGTATGGAGGCCTGTGAAACCATGAGGACAGGGCCAAAGGCAGCCTTGATAGTTCACTTTATTCTAATAAGCCTGAGTGTGCTATTTTAATTGCCTCCTGCCTTCATGCTCCAGTACTCTGTCAGTGCGGTGAAGGTGGGGATTTATCTCTCTTGTTCTCTCCTGATTTTCCAGTGCCTTGCACATGGCAGGCCCTCTATTAGTATTTGTCATCCAGAGGAATGAATGAAGAAGTATACCTTAAAGCTTTACAAGACATATTCAGAATGAATGCAAAGAAATTTGGTTTTTCTCAACCCTGGCTGGCATCAAAATCAATCTGGGGAATGTTTAAAAAATACATATAACCAGACCCTTTTCCATGCCTATTGAATCAGAATCTCCGGATATGGAGTTTAGTTTTGAAAAGAGCTCTCCCTACCTCCAGGTAATTCTGTGCTGCTCAGTCAGGGTAAGAACCACCATCTTAGCAGTTGTACGCAAAGGCTGGGTACTGACTGAAGACACCTTCAAATGGTTTTGAAACATTTGTGGCCAGCAAGCCCATAATTGGTTATTAAGACAGAAGAGGAGCTTTAAGGATATGTCAGTCTTCTTGGAAGGTATGGTGACCCAAACAGCACGTGGTCCACAACATGACCTTTGGTGCCTCCATGAGATAGAGCATCCTGGGCTGGATGGTATGATGGGACCAACTGCCAGTCCATTCTTGAGTAGTCATTTCCAGAGTGAGTCCCTGAGGACAGTTTCACCAGCCCATGAGAAAATGAGAAGAATAAAGACAATACAACAAGCTTTCCTGTTTCAACTTTAGTGCTAAGTTTATTTAATTCTAAGAGTCTGTTTTTTTTTGTTTTAATTTGTTTAATCTTGGGTTGTCCTTCCTACGGGAGGATTGGTTTGTTTTTTCATTTTATGAAAGGATGGTGATGGTTTTTTGGTGTCATTTCTAGGTCCAGTTTTGAGCTGGCAATTTTATGATAGTCTTTCTTTAGAAATTTTAGTGGCCTGTGAAATCAAAAGTCTGGGAACTACCACTCATCTGAGGTTTTCAAGATGTCTGTAACTATCCCTTGACACCTGCTATTGGGGAATGCTCATAAATATGGTGTTAGGTTCCATTACAAGCATTTTTTCTTTTAAAACATTTTTTTCTTTCCTCTTAGGCTTGCTGGTAATGGGAACATTGCCAGAGAAAGCCTCACTTCCCCAGGAGCACATACATCCCATTGCTATATCTTACCGTCAACAGTTAGCCAGCACTGCAGTGAGTTCTACATAACAAGGATAAAGGATGTACAAGAAGACACCTTTTTCTGATGGTCATTGGCCGCCAGAAAGCTGCCTCTCAAAATCTGTCATAAAAAAGGCTGCCTCTCAAAACCTGCTATGGAGACAGGACAGAACTCTTCAGACTGGTTATTAAATGCCATCAGTCAAAATTCTTTTCACTGATTGCTTATAACCCAATTTTAAGAAATATCAGAAAATTAAAATTCTTGGAAAAATCATCCCCATGATGCTTGCAATGGCATTCTACTGAAAAGGCTTTTAAAATTAGTTTATTCTCAGATATGGCTAGTTTTTTGTTTTTGTTTTTAACTTAGCTCGTTAAGAAGTATTTGGACAATGTACGGAACACCTAAAGTTATTAATAATAACAGCTATCAGGCACTTAATGATTGTCCAAACCTATTCCCTGGAATTTAAATGCATTCTCGTGTAATCCTCGGAACAATTCTGAGTGAAAGGTAGACTTATTTCCATTCTACAGATGAGGTCATAAGGCTGGAGAGGTTATGTAATTTGCAACAATGTCACATAGAGGTGGAATTTGAAACCAGACTCATTTTATATCAGACTTTTGTATTTTAAATCAGACTTTTAAATATTTTATAAAATATACCTATTATCTACTGTACCCTTTCTCATTTCTGCACATTTTTGTATTTATTTTATAATACCTGTAATACCTATTGATACTTCTGCTACACGAAAAGGAGCATCAGGTTTTGGGCTGTAAATGTACCTGATAGCTCCTGTAGTTGATGCTGCGTGTTTGAGGAGTGGAGCTGTAGTGACGCCCCAGCATGTAGGCTTCCAGGCCAGTGCTCTTGTCGTCCTGGATTGGTCTTAGAAGTATCAGCCTGGGCCAGGCGCGGTGGCTCACGCCTGTAATCCCAGCACTTTGGGAGGCCGAGGCGGGTGGATCACGAGGTCAAGAGATCGAGACCATCCTGGTCAACGTGGTGAAACCCCGTCTCTACTAAAACTACAAAAAATGAGCTGGGCATGGTGGCGCGTGCCTGTAATCCCAGCTACTCAGGAGGCTGAGGCAGGAGAATTGCCTGAACCTAGGAGGCAGAGGTTGCGGTGAGCCGAGATCGCGCCATTGCACTCCAGCCTGGGTAACAAAAGTGAAACTCTGTCTCAAAAAAAAAAAAAAAAAGAAGTATCAGCCTGTTGGTAAAACTACTTCAGTGAAAATTTATCCTGGAATTCAGAGGGTAACTTTAAATCACTTAATTGTGTTGGTGTTTTCTCTAGCCCTGTTCTCTTTTTCACCCATATTGACAATCAAATGCCACTTGTAAAGTACATCTTTTTCTTTTTTTGAGATGGAGTTTCACTGTTGTTGCCCAGGCTGCTGGAGTGCAGTGGCACGATCTTGGCTCACTGCAACCTCTGCTTCCTGGTTCAAATAATTCTCCTGCCTCAGCCTCCCAAGTAGCTGGGATTACAGGTGCACACACCATGCCCAGCTAATTTTTTAGTAGTGCCTCCATGTTGGTCAGGCTGGTCTCGAACTCCTGAACTCCTGACCTCAGGTGATCTGCCCATCTCGGCCTCCCCAAGTACTGGTATTACAGGCAAGAGCCACTGTTCCCAGCTGTAAAGTACCTTTTAAGCACCCTCCTCCTAGTTAGATCTCACCTTACAACAATAACTACTGTACATAAATATATCATGTAAAGTTATACCCAATTTTGCAAAGGTGTTATGTCTTAGCCGAAAAAACTGCTATAACAAATGTTTGCTGAACAAATGCCATAAATATATTGAATTAAAAAATCTATATCTCAAAGTAAATGAATGAATAAATATCCACATATCTACATCATAGTCATAGGCTATTTCATTCATTCCTTTATTTTTTAAAGAAAGTAAAATTATACTTTCTTTAAAGTATAATTAAAGTAAAATTACACTGAAGTATAATCTCTTCACTGGAGTGAGTTTATTCTGTTCAAGTTTTACTTTAACAATTTAATTATGAAACTGTTTAGCCAGTAATAAAGTACAAATTGGGAAGTGGGCTGCAGTTTTATATATCTTGCACAAAACACCCCCTTCCTATGTGCGCATGTACACACACACACACACACACACACACACACACACACACACACAGATACACTTGTTCTTTAGCTTAGCTCTCAAGATATTATTCTATTCCAAAATATTTTCTCTTTCATCTGTTCTAAATTCTTTTTCTTATAACTTATTTATACCTGGTAAGTTAAGTACCAAGCAGAAATTAGATCTGTAATTTCTGTGCTAATCAGAGTTGGATACTAGCAGTAGCCTGGGGGTCTTGAGCAAATAGTGTGCCTCATATGATTTGTGGCAGCAGGCACTCGCCCTCAGGGTGGGGTCATTAGGAGTGGGAGGCCCGTCTGAAGTGGGCCTCTTGCGCAGTGTGTTGTTGCTGTGTGGGAACATGTGGGCCTGTGTTGCCAGATCTTTTGATTTTTTTTTTTTACTGTAAGCCAGAAATCTGCATTATTGTGTAAAATCTAATTTTAAAGATTGGCTAATTCAAAATTGTAGAACTTCCTGTAAACCAAGCAAAATAGCTTTGTGAGCTGGAAACAGCTTCTTAATTTAGGCCCTTGAAGATGGCCCTTTAGTGGCCAGATAAATGAAAGCATAGGGTTTGGGTAAAAAGCACAATACACTTTTTTTTTTTTTTTTGAGATGGACTTGGTGTGTGATCCAGGCCAGAGTGCAGTGGTGTGATCTTGGCTCACTGCAGCCTCCACCTCCTAGGTTCAAGCTATTCTCCTACCTCAGCCTCCTGAGTAGCTGGGATTACAGGCACGCACCACCACACCCAGCTATTTTTTTGTATTTTTAGTCAAGAGGTGGTTTGCCATGTTGGCCAAGCTGGTCTCCAACTCCTGACCTCAGGTGATCTGCCAGCTTCAGCCTCTCAAAGTGCTGGGATTACAGGTGTGAGCCACCACACCTGGCCCACAATACACTTTTTTTTTTTTTTTTTTTTTGAGATGGAGTTTTATTCTTGTTATCCAGGCTGGAGTGCAATGGCGTGATCTCGGCTTACCACAACCTCCGCCTCCTGAGTTCAAGCAATTCTCCTGCCTCAGCCTCCTGAGTAGCTGGGACTACAGGCGCGCACCACCATGCCCAGCTAATTTTTGTGTATTTAGCAGAGACAGGGTTTTATCATGTTGACCAGGATGGTCTCGATCTTTTGACCTCGTGATCCACCCGCCTCTGCCTCCCAAAGTGCTGGGATTAAAGGCGTGAGCCACCGCGCCCGGCCTACACTTTTAAACATTAAATTGACATAAATTGAAACTCGATTTCATCCTTTTCTCCCCCAACCCCAAACACAAAGCCCCACACTTTTAAGAACAATTTCTGACCTTTAAATGTGGTGTATTATATCTGGAGTGGATGCATTTGAACAGGTTGTCTGGCCTGAGGAGTAATAGGTTTAGGGAGAAATAGGTAGAGTATGAATATAAGTGGGGAGAAGACAGGTGGGACACAGAGAAAGAGAATGAAGGGTAAGAGCCACTTAGAACTGAGATCATCTACCCCAGAAGATAAGGGAAGATTTGTTAATATCTTCATATGGATTTGGGGTAAATGAGGAAGAAAGAGAAAATAATACCAATATTTAGAAATAGTACAGAATTTATGTTGGTGGGGGGCAAAGAGTGCTATTATTTTGCCATTCCTAGTGTATCATGTTAATGTATGATGTGGCTTCTCCAAAAGCGGAATTGGCATGAGAAGGAAGGGAAAGAGTTTATGTCAGAAAGAAGAAATAGGGAGTGAAATAAAGAAGAGGGATCCAGAGAGCAGCTAATAGCTAAAAGTAAACCAAGAAAGCTGGAAAATGTTTGCATCATGGAAAGTTGGCTGTGTTGGAATACAAAGCAACACTTTTCTTCCCCTACCCAAAGTATGACATTGAGGGGGTATATACAGCAGTCCCTACGAAAAAGATGGTTTGGAACACCAGCTTGTTTTGCTTTTGAAGGGCCAGCCTCCAGGGTCCCTTTGTGTGAAGCAGTGTCAGCGGGGCTGCGTCTGCCCTGTCAGGGCACACTACCGGGAGGACATTGTCTCCTGGGTTTTAGACCCTCTCCACCTTCTGAGTATTCTGGTGCAGGACGGGACCTCAGGCCTTTACTATGACCCCAGTAGTGTTCCTGTCTTTAGTTTTATTTGCTTTTCTGAGGCAAATCAACATCGTTTGTGTAATTTGTTGTACGTATACCCTCTTTGAAAGAGAAGAGAGCAATATTTGAACAGATTTCTGCTACTAGCAGAATCCTAGTCTGAGAGGATTTTTAAAAGCATTTTGCTCTTAATCATCTGACGTAGCTAAGTGCCCTGTTCCTGGAATTTCAGCATTTGGGTGGGGACTTTTGATTCATCTGCAGGTTTATTCCAGTCCTGGGACTGTCATCCCTGTGTGATCTGAACTATGTCTTTCTAGACTGGTGTAACTTTAAATTTCCAATACTTTGGTTGCTTTTTAGAATAAAGGCATTTTAAAATGCTCCTTCTGTTTGTGACTTTAATGCAGTAAGGATCTTTATGGATTGTTTTCCCCTTATGGAAACCATTTGTAATACTGAGAGAATAGGTTCAGTTTTTGCACTTGGCACTGTTGTTGGGAAGAAGAAAAATTCTTCAAATTCCACTGCTCGGCCTTCTAGGGACTCTACCCTACAGACTGAAATCCTGGAAGATCCTATCAGGAAGTGAAACTTGTAAAGAATCTTTGTGCTCCTTTGGGGCATTATGGATTAACAAGTTGTATAAGAAGTCTTGTTTAACCTTCATATAAAATACACTTAAAAAAGAATCCAGTCCTAGTGACTAATCTGGAAATGAGAATAGGAAACGCCTCACCATGTGCCAGGCACTGTTTGCAGCACTTTACATATGTTACCTCATTTACTTCTCACAGCAGCCCCATTTTGTAGTAGAGGAAACCAAGGCTGGGTTCTCTAGTCTGGCTGCACCTCCTGATCACCACGAACAGCCCAGGGCTTTACCGGAGGTGGCAGAACTGTGATTTGAACCCAAGCTGCCATGGCTTCAGGATCTGTGCTTTTTAGGACTGTGTCATTGCCCCTTGAACTCTCTCACAATGATGAACACAAATTTGCTTTAGAAACTTGTTTTGCCTTCCACATTACCGCCGTCTTAAAGTCAGCATCAGAGTTGGGTTGAAAAAAGAAAGGAAATCATATTCCTTCCCTGATACTCCCTCCCCAAACCAAATGACCAAATGAAATTGTGGAGACAGTTTCCATCGAGGAACGGAAAGCTGACTGAAGGATCTTCCTGGAACAACGTACTAAAATGCTGGACTGATCATTACAGAGGATGCTGTTGGAGCCGTGTTGATGTGACAACACACATCGTTGGTGCCAGAATTGTTTTTAATAGCACAAAACCCATCTTGTTTTACCTTTACAACTGGTGGATTTGGTGAGCTTCTGAGAGCACTTTTAAAATTGCTTTTTGCAATGTATATGGAGGCAGTGGGAAGGACCTAGAATCTGGAGCTTAACAGACTTGAATTCTGGTCCCAGCACTCTCTTCTGTGGACTTGCGTGACCTTGCGTTTCATCTCTTGTAAATGGGGGAGGGGATAGTAACAGCAATAGGATTGGTTTGGTGAGGATAAGAAGCTATTATATATGACCGTATTTTATTCACAACAATAGCTGTGTGTGTCAGGCAGTGAGCTGACCAGCACGTCCTTTGTAAGTCTTGGAATACATTTTCCATGGGTGGGTGGTGAGGTAGGCGGCTGGGGAAGGTTTGTGTTGATCTGAACCCCTTTCCTTTCCTGTTCTCTCCTTTACCTGTATTCTAGTGTGAATGATAGTGTGGGTGTCAGCTCAGTTTTTGGCCCAAACTCCTTTTCCTTGGTTTTCCCCCCTTCTACCTTGGGCTCTCTTCCAGTTTGCCTACAAAGTGCTGTTTGTTGCAAGGGTGAAGCAGGCGATTCTCTGAGCACCGACACTGTGGCTGCGGGCGGTTACTGTAGTTCAAAGCAAACAGCCAAGCTAGAGTAGGAGAGACACTGACAGGGCTTGTTCATTAGAATTTTGAACATTGATTTTTGAAGGAAAGGAAAGTACAGATAGAATAGGAATAGAAATATTATGAAATGTTCTTTATCACAGAACAAGATTGGGTAAGGATAAAGGACTTTAAGAAATCACTTAACATTTATTTGAAAGCAAATGCTTTTTTTTTGAGTAAAAGCCAATGCTTTTTGAGCATTGACTTTGCCTGCAATGCGCTGTAGTGGGATGGGAAACAAAAGTTAACACTAAATATTAAGAACAGCTATTATGTTAGTGCATTTCAGGTGGTCCACAGTGGGCCACTTTTCATGTTGTACACTCACTTATGTCAGCTGTGAAGGTTGGTGTCATTGGTGTTCCGTTTCAAAGATTACAAGACTGAGGCTCAGTGTGTTGAACCCACTCAAGGTTACAGTGCTAGTAACTAGCTGGGAGAGCTACACTTTGACCTAGGTCTCTTTTTCATCCCCAATATGAAAGATGAGTAAGGTAATGTTCCTGCTTTGAAGAGGAGACCTGCATGGTTTAGTATAATTCAGTAGAGTGAGCACTATATGTTGTAATTCTTGTGAGAGCTAAATTTTTTGGACATTTGCTCAGAAGGAGATACCGATTTTGACTGGAAAGATCAGGGAAGGTCTCACAAGGAAAAATACCTTGAGTAGGGCCTTGAAGGATGACAAAGATAGTGACAGGTGGAAAATTGATGGGAGAGCTGAGGGAACGATGGAGCAGCAAAGCATGGAAATGTAGAAGTACCGAATGTGTTTGGGGAATGCTGCTGGGATAGAGTGAGGGATGGAGGAGGAAAGGAAGCCAGAGAAGTAGTTTGGAACAGATCACGGGGCCTAGAGTGCCTGCTGAGGAATTCAGACTTTACTTGCTTGCCTTTGAATAAAGGTTATTCCATTGAAGGTTCTTGAGAAGGAAAATAATTTTACCTTGATCTCTGCCTTCAGTGATTCTGGTGATAGCGTGGAGGAAGGAGAGGAATGTCTGTCTACAGTGGGCTTTCACCAACTGGGCTACATCTAACAATCGCTTGGGAATTTCTTAAATGTGCAGATTCCAGGAGCACCCCTCCACCCCTGTGATTTCAATGGTGCACATCTGGGGTGGGGCCTGGGAAACTATGTTTTGAAGGCCTCTGCAGGTGGTTCTGAGGGCAGCCTGGTGAGGGAAGGATTCTGGAGAGCACTGGGGCATTCTAGAAAAAGGTCTGAGCTGAGACCAATTTTGAGTTTGTCATTTTGTGGATGATTTTTTAAACTGTGGGAGGGGGTCAGTCATCCTACTTTCTGGTAGACCTGTCTGTGTAGGTTTTATGGTTTGCTTTTTGTCCTCTGTAAGTATTAAACAAGAATCTCTCCGAGCATTGTCATTTGGCTGAAGTTTTTCACGTATATTTCCTTTTCAAATCTAGAATGTGGGATGGCTCTAATCCTTATGCCTCTGTGCTAGATTTCTCCCTTTTTGTTGCTGTTTCTTTTAGAAGGCAGCAGAATATGTAGGATTTTATTGTGGGCTGTTCCTTCAATGACAGTCTCTTGAAGAGCATGAGCTCTGGAGTCTACTGCGAAGGTTTTTACTCTTTCTAGCCGTGGGACCATGGGAAAGTTACTTAATTTTCTATGAAATGAAGATATGACAATATTTACCATCTAGGGTTAGTTGTGAGGATAGGCTAAAATGCTTAGAACGGTTCCTGGCACATAGTTAACACTCAGGTGTTAGCTGCTGCTGCTGTTATTATTGTCCATTAATTCTGCAAATACCCAAAGGTATTCATTGTCTGCATTGCTCACATATTGAGGGGTTTACTTTAAAAAATAACTGTACAGACCAGGCACAGTGGCTGACGCCTGTAATCCCAGCATGTTAGTAGGCTAAGGCAGGTGGATCATAAGGTTAGGAGTTAGAGACCAGCCTGGCCAATAGGGTGAAACCCCGACTCTACGAAAAATACAAGAATTAACCAGGTGTGGTGGCGGGTGCCTGTAGTCCCAGCTACTTGGAAGGCTGAGGCAGGAGAATTGCGTGAGCCCGGGAGGCGGAGGTTGCAGTGAGCCAAGATCACGCCATTGCACTCCAGCCTGGACGACAGAGCGAGACTCCATCTCAAAATAAATAAATAAATAAATAAATAAATAAAATAGCTGTACAAATTATGATTGAGAGTAGTAAGGGTGACATATTAGAAAGTTTTAATTATTCGTGGCTGGGCACAGTGGCTCATGCCTGTAATCCCAGTACTTTGGGAGGCCAAGGAGGTTGGATCATGAGGTCCAGGAGATCAAGATAATCCTGGCTAACATGGTGAAACCCCGGCTCTGCTAAAAATACAAAAAATTAGCCCGATGTGGTGGCATCCACCTGTAATCCCAGCTACTCGGAAGGCTGAGGCGGGAGAATCACTTAAACCTAGGAGGCAGAGGTTGCAGTGAGCTGAGATCATGCCACTTCACTCTAACCTGGGCGGCAGAGCGAGACTCCATCTCAAAAAAAGAGAAAGTTTTAATTATTCAGTGACACTCTTTCCTTTCAGAGCCTTTTATTTTCTAGAACGGTATGCTTTTCTACTATAAATAAGCCTGCTAGGATATACTTAGAACCCATATCTGGGCAAGAACCTCTTCCCGCATGTTGGCTGCAGAGCTAATAGTGCAGTTCTTCAGTCTCTTAGGAGCCACATGAAATGATGCTCACTTTTACATTTCCTGGGGGCCAGCCTGAATATAGGTCATTTTTTTTTTTCCCAAATGTTTCAGACCTCTCTTACTCTCATTTTTTGACTGCTAACATTTAAAATACAGTTTTTGCTGGGAAGACAGTTCTACCAAGGGAGAAGCTATTTAACATTAAAGAATTTAGAAATTATAATTTACGCTTAAAAAAATAATGTTAGTTCAAATTTTAGCTTGCTTCTTTCTCCCTTCTCTGCTGTTCTTTATCCTGCCATGTGTTTGCAAACTATTCTCATGACCTTCTGCCTGTGCGGCATATTTGTAGTGGGGCCAGATTATACATACGCCACTGACTTTTTCATCTGACCTCCTAAGCTCAGCCTTTGAGCCCCTTCTTTTCTTTAGGTTTTCCTAACAAAGTCTTGTTGAAAGGAATATTATTTCCCATAGAACTTTACTGATAGTGTATGGAATAATAGGATCATGCTCTTTGAAGTTCAGATCTGAAGTCCTAACATTTTAAACATGTGTCTATTTGCTATTGCTTACTTAGTTCAGTCTTGGCATTTTAGGTCTAGAGGTGGTTACTACCCACTGGACGTCCGTAGCCACTCCCTGCAAATTAAAGGGGACACAAAAATGAAACTGAACTTCTGTTGTTCTTCACCTCTCTGCTAATTTAACTAAGTCAATTGGCTCGCTCTCATTTGCTCTCTTCACACCTCCCAAATTAATGTTATGTGCAAATTTGATCAAAACAGTGTAATTTCTAAGTTACTTTTGAGTAAAGATTGAAGTCTGTTCCTTGTGGCTTTTTTCTTCATCATACTAGTGGATGTAGCCAGCGTTTTTCTTTCTAGCCTGCTTAACTTGTGTGGTTCTTGGAACGACATAAGCTTTAGTTGATTTAGGATCCTGATTTCACAGGACACTGTATCAACTGCTTTACCAAGATCAAAGTACATGGGTTCACTGCATTCCCTTCAGTTGCTAAGTCAGTTGTGCTGTAGCCAGGCAATCCTGGAGCCTTGAAATCCAGGATTCTGGTTAAGGTGAAGAAGCAGCCTTTCCTCCTGGCTTTTTCATTTTGCAAATATCTTTCCTTTCTTCTTAATATTCATTTATTCAGCAATGTGGTGCAAGCTCTGCATCCCTGACTTCCTGAAGCTTTCAGCCAATGCTCCTATGACCAGTGGTTACATTCTTACTACAAACTGCAAAATCTCTGAGCCCCTCACTCCACTCCTTCTATTCTGCTGTGTCTGTGGCACTGTACCTCATGAACTTTCACACTAGAGAAAGCAAACTCAATCCAGTTGTGTCTTGTGGGAAAAAAAAAATGTTTTGGTTAAAAGTAGACTGGCCGGCCGGGCGCGGTGGCTCAAGCCTGTAATCCCAGCACTTTGGGAGGCCGAGGCGGGTGGATCACGAGGTCAAGAGATCGAGACCATCCTGGTCAACATGGTGAAACCCCGTCTCTACTAAAAATACAAAAAATGAGCTGGGCATGGTGGTGCGTGCCTGTAATCCCAGCTACTCAGGAGGCTGAGGCAGGAGAATTGCCTGAACCCAGGAGGCGGAGGTTGTGGTGAGCCGAGATCGCGCCATTGCACTCCAGCCTGGGTAACAAGAGTGAAACTCCGTCTCAAAAAAAAAAAAAAAAAAAAAAAAGTAGACTGGTCAGTCAGGCTGCCGAAGTTTTAGTATTTACTAGCAGTGTGACTTTGGGCGAATTATATAACATCTCCATATCTGTTTTCTCATCTGTAATATGGAGGTAATGATAATGCCTACCTCATAGGGTTGTTGTTAGGAATAATTGAGTTAATACATGTAAAGTGTTTGGCATTTATTAAACTAGGGTTAGTTAAAAAATTGAATAAGCTTGTAAAAGTTCATAATAAAGTTTCTGGAGTTTTCAGACACTCTGTTCCTCTTTCACACTGTTTACCTTGGCTATTCTAGAACAGGCAAAGGAAAGAAGATGAAATTCAAAGTATCTAGTTTTGTAACTTTAAATTATTC